GTCAGGCGAGCGCCGGGCTCGGCGTCAGGCGAACGCCGGGCTCGCCGCCAGCTCTGCCGGCCCGCGGCGCCCCAGCCTGCGGTCAGGCTCGGCCCCTCCCCAGGGGCAGACAGACAGACAGACAGACAGACAGACAGAGCCCCATTAAGCCCTCCCCTGGCCAGCCCCTGACACTCCCTCCTTGCATTTTCCAGCCTGTGGTTACAGCGCTCAAAGGGTTCCATTAAGTCATCAAGTTTTACAGGTTCCTTGAAAAAAAAAAAAAAAAAAGAGGGAGAGAGAGCGAGAGAGAGAGAGAGAGAGAAAAGTTTGGTCATGGATAGGGAATGAGTGATCAAAGCTGAGCCAAAGCTTCCTGTTACACCAGGACTATATATATATCGTGTCTTTAATGTTGGGGGATGCGAGCAGGCTGCTAGGAGACTGGAGCGCTAGCTGACTGCCTGCCTGATTTCCCAGCTCGCTCGCTGAGGTTTCTTCCACCGACCACAATGAACAAGTTCCTGTGCTGCACGCTTGTGGTAAGTCCCTGCAGAGAGGTAGATAGGCTTTAAGATGCATTACAGCTTCAGGGATGAGGCTGTAAAGACACAGAGGAGACTTTTGTTTGGAGGGCTTTTTTGTTTTTGGTTTTCTGTTTTTCTTTCTTCCTTTTTTTTTTTTTTTTTGCCTTCTCTCCGTTTTCCTGGTAAACCCTTTTGTTTTCATCACGCTGGGCGTTCGTGGTGAGGTTTGAAGTGAGCTGGACACTTGCAGCTTCAGGAAGGAAGCAGAGATTTTGATCCCATTCTCAAGGTAGTGGCATGATTTGCTTTTCTTACGCCTTCTTTCTGAGCTTCCGCTCACCTTTTGTAAGGCTTCATCATACTGGGCCAACATAAAACATCGTATCTAGGAATGAATTTTAGAAAATGTAGGCTGGGATGTTTGCTTTTGGTTTACAAAAAGCTCCATCCTTGCCTATCTGTGTAATCTGTTTTTCAGTGGCACTGGTCAGTATCTCAAATGCTGGGCTGGCTTTCTTACCCTGAAAAACCACCGTGAACTCCAGAAAGCTCTGAAAAGCACAAGCATGTGGTGCTTATTTTGGCTTAGAAAATTCAGCTTCATATGCAAGAAAATGATGAATTAGTAGCTGTTACAGAGGAAGTTTTGTTATCAAATCCTATGTAAGCCCCTGCTTCAATAAGTTTTTGTTTACTTGGTGTTTTAGAAAGATACTTCCAAGTGCAAATGGAGAGATGGCAGCAGTGAAATAAATCTTTCAAAATCTCATTTAATCTGTTTAGCTGTATGGAATTTTATCTGATGTCAGACTAATTTAAAACTGTGTACAAACAGATGCTGTGTAACATCCATTTACAGACTGTTCATCTTTTGGATAAGAAAATATTTACAGGAAAGCATTACAAATAGTATTCAAAGTAGGCTGTTATGTGTGCCTGCACAGTAACTTGTTTCTAGGCTGTTTTACTGAGTACAGTGACATTAATGTTGTGGTAGGACATTAGAACTGAGTTCCATTTAGTCTGAAAGCTCTTTATAAATGTAGCAAGATTTCCAGGATCCAATGAGTAATGCATGTTTATTGCTTTCTGCAGAACTCTCTGAAAGAGCTTTTTGAGAAACAAACCCAAGTAACTAACGGTGCAAGGGAAGCAAAAATTGTTTGGCTCGTGGTCAGCAAATTGAAATGCAGGACTACAACTTTTTCATCTCATGCATGGTGTTGTGCCTTCTTTGTCTATATAAAAGCACAGGAAGTTAATCTGGGAATTTCAGCAATAGCTTGTTATCAATTTGCCTTCTTATCTGTGCTTGCCATAAAACACACATCAGCATTTTGGTCTTAGTTAAATGTAATGTGCCCATTCGCGTTCCTTCATAAAGTAACAGGGTTTGGTGAAGTTTAGCATAATCTTTCTTTAGAGCTGTCTCTGTCAGGGAGGGTGATTTTTGATTTATTGCATGGGCTGAAATATGTCAGAATGACAGAAGTACATACCAAAGAGCTTCAGCATTCAACTCCAGTTTTTATTTAAAAATAATTTATTTAATGTTATCGTGAAGTTTAAGCACTGCCAGCTGCACCAGAGCTCAGAAGAGTAGTTTTAGTCCCTATTTTATAAGAAGGTGCGTAAGCGCAAGAGTGGTTTATGGTTGGGTGCGTTTGCCTTACGTATCTGAAGCTTAGGTTGGAGGCACCAGAGGTAAAAAAGACAGTGTGGACTTCATGTACTTTCAGCCTTGGCCTCTTTGCTGAAGTTTCAAAAAAGGGGGACCTGCTGTGGTACAGCGTGCATGTACGTGCTGTTTGTTGGAACACTAAAACTGCTTACAGACAGAGAAGCGTTATGAAATAGGGCTGAATTGAAAGAAATTCCCCAGAGCTGGATCTCATTACTTGTCACGTAACTATCTTGACCCTTAAACATGACCTTTCTCTATTTTGGATCTGTGGATGCATGTGACATGCTTTTTCTGGCCTGCCTGTTGGGTTTGTTGTGTGTAGGCAGTAATGGCTTTGCAACCCGCTAGGGCAGGAGTTTTCTGTCTGTCCATCTGTCTTTCTTTCCTTCTTTCTTTCTTTCTGTCTCTCTGCTTGTGTGTTTCTTGGTTAAAAATAAAACACTGAAGTTACCAGAAGAATTTTAAAAAGATACTGTCATGGCTTGAGTTACAGCCGTTATTCTAATGTCGTACAAACTTTAATTTTGCTCCTTTTGTCCTTAACTTTTATATTAGTAGAATTGCTGCTCTGATGGTCTTTCTAGAGAAAAACGTCTGTTTCCGCATAATATTGGACAGACTGTTTCTCCAGGTAGTCTGTTGTTAGTGGTCCTGTTCAGTGCAGAAGCAGACTGCGGTCATGGCAGTAACTTCCCAGGTTTCGGTTAGCTTTAAATCTTGCTTTCAATGATGAGTAATGTTCCAAAATATGATTTATGGATAAGATACATCTTTTGGTGCATAACTGGTTAGTGTTTTTTACTTTCTTCTTCCACAAGCCTCAAAGAAAATGTAATTCACAGAAATGAAGACTTTCAGTTCAGCATTTCTTTGGTAAGACACAGAACTGCTTTTCAACTCAATGGCATTTTCCTACCACTGAAAATGAAACAGTAGTTTAGACCTCTCGATTGCTTTCTAAATGACAGCTAACTCTGCCTCACAAAATCTCTGCTAGATATGAATTGTTACTGTAGTACTTTACTTATGGAGAAGGGAGGACAGAGGTTGATACCCATGGTTTTGAACACAGGTGGCTCAAAAGAGTTACTAGTTATATCACTTATGTAAAAGAGAGGCCCCATCTTTACAAAACATCTTCCATTCAAAAGTAGGCCCTGTTATGTCCAAAGTGAGCGGATAGGTCCTTTTATATTGAAACAGCTGACAGAGTGGTGAAGCAGCTTTATAACTGAATCTCAGACCAGTGAAAACGACTCAATTTTAGCTTTCATTTGCGTCCCGGATGCTCAGCTGTGGCCTGCTAAGAGGTGCGTTTAGTTTGGGCTGCAGTCTGAGTGAGCCTGCAGTGAATTACGGCATTCGTAGTTCTCCACAGCTGTCATCCCAGAGAAGTCAGACTTGGTGATTGCATGGAAGCCCCCAAGACAGCCAGGTGAAGAAGATGAGGTCTGAGCATTTCCCAGCTGACCAAACGGGCAAGAGTCAGCTGATCAGAAATATTTTTCACCGGTCATTTGTAGTAGATGGCCATGGATCTGATCCAGCATGACAGTGTCTTCTGCTGGATCTGTGGGTCCTGTTTGGATTTGCCAAGCTATTGATTAGGGGGACCTCTCTCGTATCTTTCAATACTGTATTTTGCCTCTCATGTTTCACTGGGGCCTCTGCATCATTTCAATGAGGCATTCTGCCTAAGAGTTGAGGGTAGATTGAGGCCTCTTGGCTTAGCTTTATCCAAATACTTGATGTAGAAAGCAAAGTAGGAGAGTTGTGAGGTTTTACTTTGAACCCAGTGCAAACGCTAGCAGCAGTCTGACAAATGACTTCAACAATTATTTATCAAGCAGGAAAATATGCTTTGGAATGGCTGTGGAATGCAAAGCAGAAACAGATTTATCTTTCTCAGCAGATTAAACATTCTTCTTTGGTCTACAACCCAAAACCACAAAGCCAAGCTATATAATAATATTTTCATATGCTGAAAAACCACCTTCTTTTCTCTCACAAAGCAGTGATTTAAGAGGACGATGCTTGAAGGACTTTTGCTTTATGTGCTTTGTCTTCCAGTTCATTTTAATTCAACAAGAAAAAGCAAGCAGCTCTTTGCCTTACATTTAAAGATGAAAGGAAGGGGTGGGTACTCCTTTTAATGCCCAAAATCTGAAATGAAATTTCACAATCACGTTATTTTTCTTTCAAGAATATCTTCTAAAGGCTCAAAGAAATGGACTGTACAGGACTTTTATGTTATGGTTGATGGATTTGTGTATTCTGACATAAAGAAGGTATGGAAAAATATTGCTTTAGGCCTAATGTGTTGGGGATCAACAATCAAAGGGTTGCTTTTTAACCTTGGGTAAGTCATTCTGAGGAAAGTGTCAGAATATATTAAATACAGTAAGTGACAATACAAAACCACAAAACTACAGGAATATATAAAATATTAGCCAATCCAATTTAGACATCATTCTCTAAGCTAAAGGCTGCATGGTTATGAGCAAACCTCATTTTAAAGTGTCTTGCAGTGCTTACTGTCATGACACTGACTTACTCTGGACTTATATTTCAGTATTTAAAATTGATCCCAACTGTTTACCCAGAGAAGTCCATTCTGAAAGGCAGCCAGGATTTGGCCCTGAGAGATCAATGAGGACTGAGTTTTTCAGTCCTTTCAGAACCAGGCCCATGACAGGGGAGAAAATTTCACCTGATAGTTTGATAGATGTAGCTGATGATATTCGATTTTTTTTTTGTTTTGGCAATTATTTTGGTACTAATAACATTTCCTCTTCATATAACAAAATAACCCTTGGTATTGTTTTTAAAATTGAGCCTTGCATTTCACTGCCCCTGGGAAAACTCTTTCCAATTGAGCGCACTCTGAATCAAACTTTACAGTTAATTTTTTGTGATGAACAAGGTGCCAAGAATCATTACCTTTCATAAGGGGTTATAAAGGATATGCTTAGGATATAAAATTAAAGGAAACCGCCTAGATCTTTTAACTTCCTCTTCCAGGAAACCAGAGTTCATATTTCTTTTCAGAAACGCATCAAGAGCTATATTTTAACCAGCTGGGTTTTCATATGCTCTAATAGTGCTATTTCTTATAGTGGAGACTGAGGTATTTAGTACTTGTCCTACCTTTTCATATAGACATTCAGTTCAATCAGAGGTTTTATCCAAGTGAGGATTTGCTACCAAGTTGGTCCTAGTACAGCCTAGGAGGAGAAGGGTCAGGAATGACATAAAATGCATTTAATTAGCATTTAATCTGAATCAGGAACATGCTTTAGAAGGGCCTCTCCGGATCATCTTCATTTACTGTGCTTTAGTTTGCTCGTCCAAGTAGACTTGGAGTGCACAAGCTGAATTGATGAAAGAAAATCCAAAGACAGACTCCAGAGACCCACCAGATGTGCTCCAACCCCCTTTCTGCTAAGTCCATGGGGACTAGAGCAGTGTCAGTCCAAAATCCCCCTCCCTGAAACATGTAAAATAGGGATGCCAGATTCCCAGCACCATCTATTTTGCTCTGCAAATCTGCACTTACAGGTAACACAACTTGTTAATGTAAGCACAGGTGAGGGTATTCTTGACTGTATGACAGGCCAAGGGAAGGGACAAGTTAGTGAAGTTCCTCGCTAGTTTACTCTGTGAGCTGGAGGACACGAGTGGTCTTTTTCCATTCTGGTTCAAGTTACTGAAGTGAAACTATTAGAAATCACACTTAATTGCCCTGAACCACCCTTATCCTTTAAAACTGAAAAAGTGATCGCTTTTACTTTGGCACTTAGTGTAGGTTTGAGGCTAACTTCTGTTTTTCAGGTTATATATTAAATACTCAGAATACTCAAATGTACTAGCTGCTTTTGATTGCCATAGAAGGCAGTCTCACAGATCTATTATCTATGTATTACTAGGGGACCTGCAGTAGTTCCATGAAGAGCTATGATATATAGGGTCGGAGTCTAGAAATGTACCTAACAATGTACAAGTGGCTGTGTTAGTTCTAAAAAAAAAAAAAAATCAAAAAACCCACCTGTAACAGAGGTTGATAACTGACACATGGAGGAGAGTTTTAAAAAAAAAAAGCAAATGCACGGTGATACTTCCCCAAAGCACTCTTCCAGAATCAAGCGTTTTGTTATTTGGGATCTGCTGATCAAGAGGTGGTTTGTGTTTAATAGTGTTTTATTAGAATTTTCCTGTTTTTTGGTCAAATTGCCTTTGGAACCCAGCTGTTTGCAATGTTCTGTAGCAAGGAGTTCCACAGCTTACCTGTGCTTTTAGGATTATAATAGTCATACAGTAGTAAGAAGAATAATCTAGCTCTGTGTTTAAAATGAGCTACAAAATATTCTTGTAAGATATTGAAATATTAATTGCATTTGTAGCTTTAGTTTGACTGAAGGGTCTTTGGTAATACTTATTTACAAAACAGAAGAGTTTGATACAGCATGCCTATACCTCAGCCAGTGAGTGATTCATTATTGCGGCTATGTAATGTATACTTCTGGGAATGAAGAGAGGAGAGCTGGAATTTGATTTTCTTTTAAAAACACAAAGAAATAAATCAGATGCCAAGGCCAATAGTCCTTTCTGTGATGCTAATTTATTAATCCTATTGTTATGTTTATTAGTTACGCTCATTTAGATTACTAGTATTCTGCTCTGCAGCAATAATACATAGCCATTCATGTTTCCAAAGGGAAAACTTAGCATAGTCTCACACACATATTGTTCCTGTATTTTTTGATCCTCTCAATCCGGATCTTTGCAGTGAGATTTTTTTTTTTTTCCCAAGTGGTATAATTAAAATTCAGATCAATTTCTTCTGGACCTGAGTCAATTTGTTTTCAGTTCTTATCAGATTGCTTCATATAGTGGTTAGTTCTTCAGGAAACAAGTGCCTCTGTTTTTCCCCGCAAAACCCCATGTTCTCATATCCTCATTGCTGAAACTGAATTCATTTAAATCCTGACTCACCCCCTGCATCAAAATCTCTTACTTGTTTCTCGTATGTGATTTCCAGAGGAAATTGTCAAGGTAGGAAAACAGACAAAACATGTTGTTGTTACTCCTCCACGTTATAAAGGGAAGCCAAGCATTTGTGACAGGAGACCTAACTGTTGAGCACCTCAAAATGAGACTGAGTGAAGAAGATGCATGACCCCAAGCAGCGGAGTCTGTTGCTGTAGCAGTGACAGCTTGGGGTTTGTTGTGGACTCGTGCATCTCACAGTAGGAAGACTAGTGTTTCTGCGCTAGGATATGGTGCGGTACCTGGCTCTGTCCCTCACTGTTTTCACAGTGTCAGATATTCATCTGCATTTAGTATTGTCTGAAGCTCTTGGGTTTCCATAGACATTTCTGGTTAACATGTTGGCATGACATATTGGCTTATACTTGTCTTTACAGGATGTGTGCCTCATGTTACAGTCTGTGATATTCTGCAACACTGTATGAGAATGCGTGTGCCCATGCAAGCCTTGGCATCTGTGGGATGAATGTTGAATTCTTACTATATTATCTATTACTGAATAAAAACCCTAGAAGAAAACCTGACTGTTAACATCAACAATTGATGAGAGTTTCAGGACTTGCTTGTTCCTAGAATAACAGCTGCAGATTTGCCATTGGTGGGTGCATTTTTTGTCTGTGGAAAGGCATTCACTTTTTTAAAATGCACTGCACCCTCTTATTAAATAGGTCCAGGCATTAAAGAAAAATTGAGCTGCACATCATCAACAAACTTCAATTAGAAATAAGGAGCTTCTCACAATGGAAGGGATTGTGCATGGAGACCAAACGAAAAAGTGGGTTCTCGACGTATGGAAATCACAGATAAAGAATGGACAAGTTACAGGGCTTAGCCAAGGGTAACTAGAAGAGGCTATGGGGAATATCCATACTATCTGCATTTCGTTCTGCAGTGAGTCTAGATATAGCCAAATAAAAAGTGGAGTCATAGACAGGTGACAGGAGACTGCAATTAAGAACACTCTGTTAGACAGTAAGAGTTCTTATGGAAGGCAGCTAATATTAGTAGTCGGTGCAAATGCTGAGTTGTGTTGGTGCAGATTCGTGATTTAATTGTCCTTGCCAGCTTTAATAACAATTTCACATAAGTGCAGCTCTGTGGCAGAAGTGAGGCCCTTAAGTGAAGCCTCTTTAGGAAAGTTAGAGTCTGAATGAGTATAAAGAGTTAATTCCACTTACTCTTTGGGGACATTTACATTGGACAAAAGGAAAGATGTGCTCTTGAAACTGAATTGGTGTCTCTGTGTTAGCTAACTGGGATTAAAATAGCAATGAAGACAAGTCAGTCACAAGTTTCTTCGTTAGAGCCAGTTTACTTCATCTTTATAGAATGAACAAGTTTTGAAAGACAAGCAGCACATCGATCATGCAGCGTTTGGGCAGAGCTGAGGTCTCAGCCCAAAGTCTTAGCTGAAGGCTGACCCTGTGGGGCTTGGGGCTATTCTTAGGGAAGTAAACAAGAGAGTTCTGTTTTTGAAGGGCTGTTGGAATCACATAACCAAATTTTGAGTTAGCGTTGACCAGAATGACGTGATCTCTTAAGTCGTCTCTACGGAAGGGCAGGGTCATCTCAGACCGCTAGTTCCTAAATCGCACCAACAATGTAGATTATTGCGGGAAACTGAAGGGATTGTGGCTGTCATGATTTCTGTCAGTGCTGAACCAATTCCTCAAGACAGAGTTAAGCATTCTCTGAGTGTACTTTTGGATAGGAAGTGAAAGTATTGCCCTGACCTATTCCCGCTTGTGTGACTTAAGTCTTTAATACAACTTTCATCAGTTGTAGCATTCTGTACCTCTGTATGAAGCTACATCTTTATACTAGAAGTAGCAGCCACATTTTATCCCAAGAGTCTCTTTCTTTTACTTCAAGATTAAATGAAAGGCGTTACAAAGTAACTTACATTGTTTTACCCATTCATTTCCACTAAAAATAAATATTGCGCGGAATCATCCTTTAAAGATACCTGCAGTAAATGGGGCAGTACACTTGTTAGATTTGTATTCTCAGATATTTGCCATTCCTTTGCGTCTGAAGCGCTTGTTGTATGAGAGTGCAAAATTTCCATCTTGCTGTGCACTGAGCATGATGCTGAGGAAACTAATGGACCAGGTTCTCTGATGCCAGTAGGTTAAAAAGATCATTGCCAGATGATTTTGAAAGGGTGTAAGTGAGAGGAGAATAAGATCTACAGCCATAGACAAACTAAGAATAAGGAAGTACTTATGCCAGTAAGATTTTCTGGATAAGATCTGAAAGGTTTCCCGTTCAGACATAGACATGGGAGAGTCCGGAAGCTGGCTAATATTTTCTAAATTTCTAACATAAACATTGGATTGAAGATAAGGACATGATTAAACTCATAAACTCATTAAAATGTAGGTTTCTTTGTGACTATGTTGCCACCCAAGACTAAAGTGAACAATGTTTTATTTTCTTGTCACTAGCTCTTGGATATTTCTGTTAAGTGGACTGTCCAGGATATCTCTCCCCCAAAGTATCTCCATTACGACCCAGGAACAGCTCGTGAGCTCATGTGTGACCAGTGCCCTCCTGGAGCCTACGTAAAGCAGCCCTGTACAGCTACCAGCAAGACACAATGTGCTCCGTGTCCGGACCAGTACTATGCTGAAGACTGGAACAGCAACGATGAATGCCAATACTGCAATGCTGTTTGTAAAGAATTGCAGTATGTTAAGCAAGAATGCACGAGCACACAGAACCGCATCTGCGAGTGCATCAAAGGGAGATACCTTGAGCTAGAGTTTTGCTTAAAGCACACGGAGTGTTCTCCCGGGTTTGGTGTTGCACAGCCAGGTATGTATCTGTTTTCAATAAGCACTGAATTAATTAGAGTTCTACGGTGCATTGAAGACTTGTGGCACTTACAAGATTAGGAAGCAGGCTTGTCCAGATGGAATTACAGAATGGTAAATTGTAAAGCCAATTGAACCTGTTCCTGCTCTGCATTGTTTGGACCGTAGCCAAAGGAACATTTCTCAGTGGAATACCCCTGCTCCTACTGTAATACATTACTTAATGGCAATAGCAAATGTAGCAATTGCACTCTAATGAGAAACATGATGGATTACCCCTTTTAAAGGAACATTATCTGGAATGTAGTATTTGTGTGTGTGATAAATAATAATGTTTTTCATTTTGAAATCTGCTGTTTCAAGCAACAGTATATCTTGACAAACACCAGGAGCAATACCTGCTTTGACATCAAGTGTATAGCTATAACAATATTAATATAGATCTAGCATCAGAGCAACATGTGGTAATAATTAATTATCAATGTCTTAAGTGGTACTCGTAGGGAAATTGTTACTATCATCAAAAAAACAGCCATTTCTTTGTTAAACAGGCTGCTACTATGCTGGATAACTGGCAGGGATAGAGTGAAGTGGTGTTTTTCAGTGGAGTGTATTCTTCATTGTAGACAACATAAATTGTTAAACCAATAATAAATTCTTCTCTTGAAACAAAATACATAATTTATCATTTGGCAGATGCCATGGCCCAGTTTAGTTCCAGTATTTAATACAGCCTTTGGTAGCACAAACTGTCGTTGTGCTGGAGGTTGATCACTGCCCAGAGAAGAACACCAAGGAAGGGAATACAGAAAATCAAGAAGCATATCACACACAAAGTTGTAGGAAAGCAATCTCAAAGCTACAGCATTACTTCCCTAGTAACTGTGTATATGCAGTAAGAAATATTAGGACTAGCCAGAACGTTGTAGAGATATGCTGAATAGTAGGTCAAGAGTAATTTCGCCAGTTATGAATATCTCACTGGAGAACAACTTTGATGTAATGAGTAATGTAACTGCTGTAGAGCATCACCATTCCCTGAATAACTGATTGACTAAAAACTAACCTAGTGCCCCATCTGCTCTTGCCACTTTTTGCATTTCCATGCAGTTCCAGTAGCAGCTACCACATTTCGATATTAGAAACCTTCACTAACCTAAATTGTTTTATTCAAGGGCTTGGGTCGATGAGGTTCTGCTCTACCTTAGCAGCAAGTCAAAAGGGGACAGAAGCAAAGTTCTCAGAAAGCCCATATGGGGGACGCACAGAGAAGCATGAATTGAGCAAACAGTCTGCTGCGTCCCTGAAAGAACTCTGAAACCGTGATGACAAATTTGGATCCCTCAATTCAAAATGAAGCAAACTTTAGAAGAAAATAAATTGTTGAATCATGGAATTTATTGGAAAGTTTGTTTCCAAAAGCCCATCAGAATGAACTGACTAAACCTAAGCAGACCTCAAACAAGGAATGAAAACTTTTTAAAAATAATCGTGTCCCCCTGTGTCAATATTCAGTTTTTGTGTTGACTAAGAATTCAATAAGCATCATCCACATTGTGTTCTCACTTTCTGCCATGCGGCAGCATGAAACAGTGCCTCTGTACTGATTTAAACTGAGGTGAAATAAAACCTAAGCGTATAAAAATAAGCTTTCCACTGCAACACAGGGAGACAGTGTGGTCCAGTGCATCGTTCGGAGCTTAGAGTATTGGAAATCTGACTGTGGGTCCCCATTGCCAGTAGCTCATGATTATGCTGGGCAGATCACTTTACCTCGGTAGGCCACATTTGTGAGTGCAAGTTAAGGTTTATTCCTTTCTTCAGCAGCCAGCCCCTGTGTCTGAAAGAGCTTTTGGTAGCAATTCACTTGGGAATTAGCAGTGCTACAAGGCAGCATTATCTGCCCCGCGGCTTCTGCTGTTCCTCTTGAGAGAACAGGGGATTTCAGGCAAATTGAAGGGAGCGGCAGAAGGGTGGCCAGGCCAGGTTACGGCAGTTTGTGCCCTGAACATGAGACACCAGATAAGCAGTGAAGAAGAAGCTGGTAGATGCTAGAGATTACTTTACGCTCAACCTCGAGAATGCTGACGATTACCCCTTTTATCTCCGTCTCGTACAGAGAAGGTTACATGGGAAACTCTGAAAACAGAGATCAGCCGTTGGCAGGGACTTTCTCCTTTTTTTTCCCCTTCATAGCTGCTGAAACACAAGAGTAACATGTCTGTAGTAGGGAGACTTACTAAAAATTTAGACTTCTGCAAAATGCTTATTGCTGCTTGTGCAGGTACAATAAACAGTGGTATGTTGGCTGGACTTTTGTGTAGTCTAGAGCCAGAAGCCGTGTATGTTATACAGAAAATGTAAGGGCAGACCTGCATGCTGCTGCTTGTTGGGGGCTGGAAGCAGAGCTTGTTTTGTTTTTATGCGATATATGGGCTCTCTGATTTTCAGATGCACAAAAATTTAAATTCCTGCTTTGTTTTCACTTATCTACTGAAAGAAGTGTTAGATCATGTGTATGCAAACGTTATTCTTTATTTCATGGCTATCAGAAAACTTGAGATTCATACTTTTTTCCTCCAATAAAATGCCCAAAATATAAATTTTACTTAAAAGCTAGCATTAAAATAAGCATTCACGTGTAAATACTCCCAGAATACACTAGATGGAGGCATTTTCATATTCAAATATAGTTTCCAATTATAAAAAAGAATGTTAAGCATGTGCTTAAGTCTATAGTCAATAATGCAGTTTTAGACTGTAGACACTTACGTAAGTGTTTGCTGGATAAAGATGACTTGGGGTGAATGTAAAGCATTTATTGGTGCTGTTATTTTCTTGTCACTAGTGGTTAGACTCTTTGCGATATTTCAAAGCTCATGCTTTCGTTTTCTTCCTCTAAGTCAGTTAGATAGATAGAACCATAAAATATTGTTCAGTTGTTGTATCATATATTTAATTCTGGAGTAATAACTATGTGATTATAACAGCCTAACACGAAGTAAAAATCTGTATGTATATTAAACATTTTTGCTATATTGGATAATATATTGTATTTGCTTTTAATATTTTTTTTCAATCTAAGAAAAAGTTCAAATTATTGCTTGAATTATATTTTTCAGTATAATTTCATACTTGAAAGGTGAGAGTATATTTCAGAGGGTCTTAGTGGATCTTTAGCTGAGTTATATTTTGGGCTAGAACTAAATGATCCGTTCTAGTAACGTTCTGCAGAGATACTGCAGAGTAGTATTTAGTGTCTTGTGCCAGTTAATTGGTTTCCAGGATGTTGGTACAGATGAAAGGTGAAGGTCACACATTATGTAATTTTTAAATAGATTCAAGTAATAATTGATTTACAAGAGCTTATAGAATTTGGTGACAGGTATACATGTCTTTCTCTGAAAATTAAAGTTTTTTTCCCCTAAATGTGCTTCCCTCATACGTATGAAACATGAGAAGCAGAATTCATCACAATTTTGGAAGGGATATTTTCTTGCATTTTTGTAATCTTGTATTTTTTTTAATAATTCATTTTATATGTAAATAGATATGTTGCTTTCCTGTTTCCAAAGGTACCCCTGAGAGTGACACCGTATGTAGGAGATGTCCAGAAGGATTTTTCTCGAATGAAACATCGTCCAAAGCAGCTTGTCAAAAGCACACAAACTGTAGTGCACTGGGTTTGAAAATAGCACTAAAGGGAAATGCAGTTCGTGACAACGTGTGCCAGGAAAATACAGATACATCAGCTCAAAAATGTGGCATAGGTATGTACCATATTAAAGAAGAGTACCCTGAAAATATACCTTTTGATTATTGTTGAAATGAAGGTATCAGCATTTATGATAACAGTGTCTAGGTTGCTAGCCATTTGCCTGCTATAGTGATGGGCGAAGTAGAACTTTAATTACTGTAGGTCGGAGAGAATGGATCTCAAGCACAGAGTGCAACAGAACTGTGAAGACCGCTTTTCGTTTTTAATATTTTGTAAACATTTTGCATATCATCTGTGCTGCGTACTGGTTTTTTTTTCAGAGATAAGCGGTTGAATCAAGATCAATACAATTGACATATTCTTTTTCTACTTTTTATTTCAGATGTAACCCTGTGCGAGGAGGCTATGTTTAGGTTTGCTGTTCCTAATCAGCTCACACCTAACTGGCTGAACATACTGGCAGACAGTTTGCCTGGGACCAAGGTTAACACAGAAAATATAGAAAGGATTAAACAAAGGCACAGTTCTCAAGAGCAGACCTTCCAACTCTTGAAATTGTGGAAGCAGCAAAACAAAGAGCAAGATATGGTCAAGAAGATTATCCAAGGTACCTTCTATGGATAGCACATATGTTAGAAGTAACCTTCTAAATGGCATTTTGCAAATTATATGGCGTCAAATTCGTCCTGGTGATGGGGTATGCCTTGATGGGGAGGTGGAGGTGTGGGTTTGGCAGAGAGGTGTTTGGTGTGGGAAGCGCACCGACGCTGAGGGCAGCTGTAGAGGTGTAACTAGGAGCAGGATTCAGCTTTTTACACGCAATTCTGCCCAGACTTGCCGCACGTGGCCCCTTTAGGAGCATGCGTAGTGTCAGAGTCTAAATCCTATTTGGGGACTGTACAGCCTACAAAAATGTTTCCTGCAGCTATATCTGAGCAGGGGCTGTTGAGGTTAGAGGGAGCTGGATGTACAAAACTGAGAGTCCAGTTTGTTTTAAAATAAGTAAGGCGCTACCAATGCTGATTGACAGCTCAGACTGATGCATCTATTCACAGAATGGGAATAGCATGGGAATAAAGAATACAACCGAAGTGCTTTCCCTTCTTTTTGTCTTCTGGTATCTATTTGTCATGCCAATTCACTGCTTTTCTTGTGCTGAATCTGCCAAGACTGGTGTCAAAGGTGAAATAATGCTGCAATGTTAACATGGAGATTTTTACGAAAGTCAGACTACCTCTCTTCATGTAAGCCACCCTCACCAACCACCACATTTTAATGACCTTTTGTCTACAAGAAATAGATTAATTTTTTCCTCACCTTTTGAATATGTATGCTTGTGTCAGATTGTGAAGTGTCTAGAATGCTTCAAAAACTGAAATGACAGTGCCCATTTTAGCAAAGCTTGCCTAGACATTTCCAAAGTAAGAAGAGCAAATTATTCATTCATTGGAACCAAACATTAGGAGTCCTCCGACGTCTAGAGAACATTTACAAGATGCATGAAAAAAGCTTATAGAAATAAATACTTACTAGTAAGTTTGTATGTAGTTTGGGGCTGTTTGTGTTTGCAAAGTTAATTACAATCTTAAGAGCTTTTCAAGACTGGAGCCTAAAACAGCATTGCTAATAGAATTATTTGAAATAATTTTTTAAAAATTGGGAAGGCATATTCACCTTGATATTTTGGAAGTTTTTTGTAGACCATCATAAAGTTGTAATGCATTGTACTTATGTCTCTTCGTTTTGCTTTTTATAGATATCGATCTTTGTGAAAATAGTGTCTTAAAACATATTGGCCACCCTAATCTCACCTTTGAACATCTCAACACACTGATGGCAAGCTTACCAGGCAAGAAAGTGGGAAAAGAAGATGTCGAGCGCACAATGAAACTGTGTCAACCCACAGAACAAATTCTGAAGCTTCTCAATCTGTGGAGAATAAAGAATGGAGACCAAGACACCATTAAGGGTTTAATGTATGGACTGAAGCACTTGAAAACATACCACTTTCCAAAAACAACCATTCAAAGTCTGAAGAAGGTGATAAAGTTTCTTCACAGGTTTACAATGTATAGATTATACCAGAAACTGTTTTTAGAAATGATAGGGAACCAAGTTAAATCAGTGAAAGTAAGATGTGTCTAATTCAAGATACTTTTCATTCTCCACTGACTATTTTTCCCTAATTACTGCCAGCAGTAATTAAACTGGAACATTGTTTCCCTAAGTGTTCTTGGAGTTTTTTGTTTTTTTTTTTTTTATAAAATCACTTTTGTAAAAGCTGTTAACCTGTTGATAACACTAAGAGCCTGTTTCTGCATTTTTGCACATTTAGAATTGCAAAGCCCCACTATAGTCACTAGATGAGAAAAGAATGCTGGACCAGGCTCTAATACAGTATTTGCTATTTATATTCTTTAAGATATAAACATTTTTGTTGTACATATTTATTAAGTTAAATGGAAATTGTATGAGACTGAATTTTAGAAAGAGAAATGAAAAGCACACTGTATATATTCTAGTTAAAAATGATCTCGTATATTTTTCTGGCAAAATTTTGTAGCATGCTCTAAAAGTTCTTAATTTCTTTACATTGTATATTTAAAAAATATAATTGCATAGTTTTTTCTGTATAAGTTGTGGTATCTTTTGGTAGAGATGTTTTAATTTATCCAATGATTTTTAACTCAAACACAGTGAAAATATAGCATAAGTGACCTGAATATTTAAATATTCTGTGAGAAAATGAATGTACCATATTTAAGAAGCTGGATTTTTACATAGAATTTCATAATCTTATTTTATAAAACAGTTAAATTTTTCAGTTTACTTTTTGGCTGCTGTTTTACTTTCGACTGAAATAGGCAGGAACAACAAAGACAAGGTGTGTGGATTTTGCTGCTTATCTTGGGCTGGGCTGTCTACTACCCCCTGCCTGATCTAGTAGTTAATATATGAGCCAAGTAAATGTTGACCAACACTGGATTTTCACAGTCACTGTGCAGGTGTAAAAGGACATAAAAAGTATGAAAGATAATAGCCGATAGGGCGCAGTCAGATGCGATGCAACCAGCTACAACTTCATAGACGTGTCTGGCCCAGTGTCATTCCTGGCCCGGTGTCATTCTTGGAGAGCTCGCAACCTTTGCCCTAACCACAGCTTGTAATTTCATGGACGAAAGATGATGCACTGGCCTCACTGGGCTTGGAATGCCTCATTTATTGCCACTATGTTTAAAGGAAGGGAGCACAGAGAGGTCAGATTGAAAAAAAAAAAAAAAATCACTACCCATTGCCCTCAGCTGCAGAATGAAGCACCTATAGAGAGAAGGGCCTAAAACAGAGAGTGTTACAAACATTGAGGCTGTTATTGACGGGTCAAATAACGATAAGGGTCACTGATCATTCACACTGCAAGCCAAGGCACTGGGTGGCTAGAAAGAGGGACTGCGCTCCTGGGATTTATTTTTCTTTTTTCTTTAAACTACCCCTACAGACCTGGGGTATTCGATATATTTTTCCCCCTGGGTAAGGGGAGAAGAAAAGGCATCTGCATTTAGCTTTATATGACAAATGTTCCTGTATTGCAGATGAGAGGATCTGAAGCGAAGAATGAGAAAGATGGCTGTTAAGTATGATAGATTTGGAAATAAATATCAAAAACAGTGTCCTTGCAGAGAGTACAAACAGGACATATGGCTTGACAACACTTGGGTTTTATTTTTCACTGGAATCTCACATCACTTTTTGTATCAAAGTGCAAGTATGCAGGAATGCACTCCCTTTTATATTTCACATGCTATAAATTAGAATCCCATTTATCAGTGTAGCTCTAAAAGTGGTGCTGAACACATGAAATCTACTTTCTTGTTGATTCATGTTAAATCGTTTACGTACTTTCATAGCAAAAACTGGTTTAAAGGATAGACAAAGAGTTTAAAAGACGATCACAACAGAGTCACAAATTTGGAAAGCAGAGCTCAGATCTTTCCGTGATGCTGCTAGGTGTGGAAGTTTGAATGTTATATGAAATTAGAATAATCATCTTACTGGCAGCAATATGAAGAGGAATCCCACATGCCTCTTATAAACATTTCCGTCCTAATCCTTTCTAAATGAGATCCCTTAAATACAACTCTTTAGCAATTGGTGGTATAGTGTCGAATAGCAATACGGTTAAAAATATGTAACTAGAATCAGTTTAACAAAGTTAATTGGATAGTGGAAAGCACAGTGGCTTCTTGCTTAGTACTCCATACTGCCTTCACATTTTTAATAGATTTTTTTTTACTTCCATATTGCAATTATATGCAACTCTCATTATAAATAACATTGTAGACGTCCTTCATGAGTGACAATACTGAAGGAGATGGTTAGAGCCACAGAGTACAGTTAGTACATGCTATAGGTACTACACTAATATGCTATACTTAACTACAGGAGAGTACAGCCTTTACTGGATTTCCTCTGAAAATTCAGCATTAAACTATTATTTGCACCTTTTAAGATAAGGTAAGTTTTTTTTTGCCTAAACACAAAGTTACAGCTGCTTAATGAATTATACCTTTTAAAGCTGATTCAGCCAGCCAGGCTGACACTTCTCAGTCAGTTTATGCCTGATTTATCACCTGAGCTCTGCTCAGCTGGAAGGAATCAAACACTTAACAGTGTGCGCAGACAATACTTAAGCGGTATTGCCTTCCCCAGAGAGCCTACAGCCCAAAATAGCCAAGACAAACAAAAGCAAGACCCAGGATAATGAGGGAGAGGTGAGGCAAACAGAAAGTGGGAGGATTGCTTGGAAAAAAAAAAAAAAAGTGTGGGTTTAGGGGTTGTTTGTGTTTTTTAAGGAAAGCCTGCAGGAGGGAGTGGATGTGGGAGAGGGCCCCCTGCCCCAAGGAAATACTGTCTGGTAGAGGGGGAAGGCAGCTATGGAAAATCAGGCAAGGGTGACATGAATGGAGCTGCTGCCCATGAAGTGCCCTGAGCTGCCTGGTAGTGCCAGCCTTTGCTTCAGCCTAGCTTTGGAGCAAGCCCAAGGGAAGACCCTTGCTCTGGCAGCCCATGGGCTTGGGTGAGGCTGCCTGGTCTTGCATGGAAAGGAGGAAGGTGGGAAGGGAGGACAGATGAGTCTATTGCCTCTGTGGCCTCCAAGTAGGGAAGTGATTGCCCTGCAGTGTCAACTTCTCCTTGGCATAACATGCCCCTGGAGGCCTCTGGTACCAGTGTCAATGGTAGGGCTGCTGCCAGTCTCTGTCTCCTGCTCTGGCACGCTGTGGCCCTGGAGATGTGGGAGAGATGGTGCTCCTGTGGAGGCCTCTGAATGAGCAGCTGTTTCAGCTCCTGCTCTTCGTGTCCCCAGCTTGTTACCTCCTGGTCTCTGCTTGCTGATGCTCCTTTCCTGCCTCTTGGCTTTGCTGTCCTCCTCCTAGTCCTATGTCCTCTCCTCTCGTTCCTTCCATGCTTCTGGGGCTCCTACTGCCATGTCCCTGATAGCGTCCCCTCTTGCCTGCCTCCCCTCCTGCTCTAATGTGCTGTTTCCCTCCTGTGCTTCCATCATCCTAGAGGCTTCGCTGCTCCTGGCTGGTGGTGCTGTCACTGTGCTGGCTGGTGGTATGGTGTCCAGCCATCCCCAGACCTACTTGTGGTGGTTCAGCTCACTCCTCTCCCTGCCACAGTGAGGGATATCCCCTTCCTGCTCATGGTGACTCCATGTGCATGTGCTTCGTTGCCACATCTCACCCAGTGCTATGAGGCACCAGCGCCACCAAAACACCAGGCTGTGGAGGTGCTGCCAAGAGCAAGGGAGGCTGAAACCAGAGGAAGGATGAGCAAACAAGGTCAAGGCTGGCAGCAATCTGTGCCTGCCCTAGCAGGGCAGATGGTGGGCATGTCCCCGTGTGCAGTCTTAGCCCTCAAATCATGGGTTTCTGTAAGAGTGCTCAGGCCCTGTGGTCATCTAGGGGCGGATGAAGCCTCCCAAGGTAGAGGGGGCTGAGGTTTTGCCATTCAGATGCTTCATCGTGGTGTTTATGGGCTCTCTCAGCTCTCAAAGGCAGGTGCTTCAGCTGTTGTGTGCCCAGCCATGCTCTCAGGTAGCCCATGCAGCCCTTTGTTATCAAAATGGCATTGTCTATCTTAATGTGCCATGGGTTTAAAGCAGGAACTTCTGAAATCTTCTACAATCCCGGTTTGTAGTTTTGTTCTATGTGTACTTATCTCTCAGGCCTTGGAGAAAAAGAATATTTTGAAGTAGCAGGGAAATTAAAGAAGAAACTAGATACTATGGTTATTAATCATCTCTCTTATGCTGTGCACGTCACCAAAGGTTATGGATTCCTGGTCCCTGACTGACACATTGATGCTTTCATAGTAAAATTACCAGTCAATACTATAATCTGATCAACCAAGACCCTTTATTACCTTCAGGTACCCATCCTGCATGTCCCAGTGCAGGTTGTTGCCACCTCTGAGGCAGAGGTAACAGCTCTGCTTGCAAATCACTCTAAAGTGTATGACTGCTGAGCCTTAAGTCAAACCAGGAATGAGGCTCAGAAATAAGTAAATACCCATTAATAGCTTTTGATAAACTGCCCCCCAAAATTGTTAAATTTTGGAAAATTGACATGTAAGAAATACCTATCCTCCAAAATATTTGAAATAATGTGGAGAAGCAAAATTTTGGGTAAAATGACTGAAAGAAGAGTTCTACTTTTTTTTTTTCTTTTTTTAGTTCCTTTACCTTAACTAGACTGTAGAACCAATAAAGGCAACAAGCTGAGTAGCGAAGAGATAAACATATCTACAAAGCCAATGCTGTAGTCCTTGAGTAAGTGAATATTCCCAGTGGACTCAGAGGACAAATCTATGGGCTAGGCCTATAGGAATGGGCTCATAATTGTAACGAATTCATAATTCTATTTTTATGTTAGAGTTTTAGACTGAACAAAGCTTGAGACAAAGTAAAACAGGTGATTGCAATGCAAAAGTAGTTTATTCCACTTATCATCCTCATGTCTTGTATTTATGGCAAGTTTGCGTAGGATTCCTCTGTTTGTTTTTTTCGCATTTAAAAAAAGTTCTTTCATGCTAACAGGTTATTTTTTTTAAATCATCCTGACCTTTAGTACCTAGGAGGTTATTTAAAAGGAACCACATGATGAAAGATTGTGGCTTTGGCAATATTTCATATATGAAGAGGACAGGGCGTGGTTCAATAGCTG